GGCCTGTAGCTGCTGAGGTCCTTGGGATGGGAGGTCTTTGGTACCAGTACCACACAGGAGGTCTTCCACAGCTGTGGTACTTTCCCCAGTGACAGGCTCAGGTTGAACAGATAACCTAGGATGCCACACAGTTCATCTGCGCAGCATCTCAGGAGCCTGGAGCTGACGCCATCTGGACCTGCAGCCTTCCACACCTTGATCTTGCGAAGCTCATTCCTCACTTGAAGTGCTGAGATAGAGGTGAAAAAGCTAAAAATTCTGCTGAAAAAAGGTGAAGAAACAGAAAATTGTGCAGAAAAGGGGCAAAGAAACTGAAAACTGTTGAAAAGAGCTGAAGAGGCTGAGATTTGTGATGAAAACAGGTGAAAGAGCTGAACTTTATGCTGAAAAGAGGTGAAAAAACTGAAAATTCCGCTGGAAAGATGTGAATTAGCAGAATTTCTGCTGAAAAGAGGTAAAGAAGCTGAAGTTTGCAGTGAAAACAGAGAAAGAAGCTGGAATCTGTGCTGAAAAGGTTTGAAAAATGGAAAATTCTGCTGAAAAGAGGTGAAAAAGCTGAAATTTGTGTTGAAAAGGGTTAAAAAGTTGAACTGTTTACTGACAACTTTTTTTGTCATAAGTGGGATTTGCCAAAAAATGGCATAAAAAGCTTAATATCTCAAAAAGTATGAAAGGTATGAGCACCAAAAGATATAGCTGGCATTAGCATAGGGAGCAGAACAGATTAAAGTTTAAATGGTGGAAATTGGCTGAAAACTGAGGGAGTAGTTAACCAGCAAAGGTCGGAGCAACTAGAATAAGGTAGAATAAAGTTTAAAGAGAAACAGGATCTCAATAGTGCCTTGAGGCATCACACAATAAACAGAGGAGACAGTTTTTTGGTCGTATGAGTCTCAAACATACTGGTGGCAGTCCGAGTACATATACTGGGTAAGTGACCTGGAAACTTTCTGGAAGGGGACTCTAACGCATGATAGGTGGAGCAACATGTGAAACCACAGCCCCTAAATGTTTGTTTACACTGTCTTCTTGAAATATCTACTTGTGTAATTGTGTCTTAAATTATCTGTGTCTTTAAAACAGATAAACCTATGCTTTTATATGAACTTTTCAGACGACTAAAAAGGACGATAACTAAAAGGTGTTTCTCGTAGTTCTGTCAGTCTGTAGTCTGTGATAAATGTCTTATAAAAATAATTTATGTGCCACAGCTGTGGCTGTCAAAAATTATCTCAAATAAATACAATGAACTTTGCAAATTCTTCTTTAAGCTGACTGTCCAGAGATAAGCTATCAAACCTGTGATAGATCAATATGCCAGATCTGCAAGTTTTTTTAACTGAAGGAAAAAAGTGTGTGACTGAGGAAACTTACAGTTTTGCAAAACACCCCAAAAACACATTTTCAAGAAAATGATAAAAGGAATCTTGAGTCTATGTACACCTGTTTAGAGCAGATGGTTTACTTTATTTTTACAAACATATAAACTTCATAGAAAAAGTAAGGAAACTTATTTGGGAAATCAGTTCTTTGCTGTTGCAAAGCAATAAAACGTGGCAATAAAACTTATGCTATTGGAAAGTGTTAGGTCTGCACTTCTACAGGCCCTGCTGGTTTAGAGACTTATTCCCGTTAACAAAGCAAGACAAACATCTCAACCGGTTTTTCACATGCTAGCAAGGGAAGGATCTCAGAGCAGCCCTTCTATCCTACGGTGTCAGACCCCTTCGAATAACAATCACCCCACAGCAGCCTTTTATTTCTGTGACACAGTTTACACAAACACCCATTATTAAAAAAAAAAACCCTATGGTTATAAAAGATTAGGCACTGTGTGTGTGTGTGTGTGTGTGTGTGTGTGTGTGTGTGTGTGTGTGTGTGTGTGTTTGTGCTTGGGGGTGCATTTGTGTGACCTCCTGTTCACCAAAAGGGTCATGAAAGCAGGAAATTTACGAAACAAGAAAACAGAACCTTCACCTGGGATGTGCCTATAATAAAACACTACAGCCTCCCCCACCTTTCAACAGCCTGGGGGAGGGGGGGGGGGGGGTCAGAAACAAAGGAATGTCTTTGATCATACAGTTCGAACTAAGACTTACTGATTTAAGTACAAAAATGGCAACATTTAACAATTTGACTCTAACAGAAAATCTGTTTATTTTCCCTTAAATGGGGCCATGTTTGTAAGGAAAATGTATTCATGCGTTGAGCAGCAGAGGTGAATATGTGGATTATGCCCATAAAAAATTGCCAGATCTTCTTTGCCAGTGCCAAACAGCTTATTCTGCTATTGACTCTTGTTTTTAGCTTCAGGTACCCCAGGTGCTTACAATACAGTGCCTGATTGGTGCCTACTTAGTATCTCCTGTGAGCATGGACCCTGGTGCAGCGATATATGCTCCAAGCACGCTATATTTAACTGATGTGGATAGAGCCCGTGCCATAGGGCAACTTTAAACTTGGCATCACAAGAAGACCGTTTCTGCTCACTGTCTGCATTTAGAAACCATAAGCGGTCTGCTACAGATTTGCAGTCAAAGTTTGCAGGATTATTTTGCCAATGGTGCTCTGTCCAGACAATCCATCAGGCCCATAAGCACCGACGTCAGCGACAGGTGCACTAAGCATGAGCGTGAGGAGAAATTTTAGCAATGAATATAGATTCTGCCTTTAGCAGCTGGATTGTTGTGTCAAAGTGTGGAGAAGACACAGAAAAGCTCTGAGCACAGATCCATTGAGGCTGGGGTCTATTACACCAGGCAAGACCCCAGGTGCAGGCTGTGTAAAGATGCCCCTGAGAAAATCCAGCACGTAAAGGTTGGGTGAAAGATGCTAGCAGGCAGGAAACTCCACAACCAAGTGGCCGGCATAATATACAAGAACATCTGTGCTGAGTATGGCCTGGAAGTCGTAGGGTGG